TTCAGGCTACTAGTATTAGTGTTTTTGACCATCTGAAATCTATCTCCATGCAACCAATGTTTTTTTTTTCTCCCAGTGACCTAATAATCTCTTCAGTAGATGTGTAGGGTATGATCGAACAACCTCTTAGGAAAGAACATGATAGTTTACTGGCAAACATTTGCAGATTATCCATCTGTTGTATTGTGTTGTGTGGAGGTTTGTATAAAGGGAGCTCGAGCCTGTGCCTCTAGCTCAGCTGGTCTGACTGGTAAAGCAGTAACAGGAGTGGTTTGACTTCAGCCCGGCACAATACACTCACACACTCATGCGCACCAGCCAACCCACCCACTCACACTCGCATTCTCACACACCTGGCCCAGAGGCACAACTGTCCCCCTTAGCCTCGAGAGCCACATACACACCCAGTTTCTGATTGTCTAGCAATCACATCCTTCATCTTCAGCTATGTAGGATGTAATCCACACTTGTTCACAAAGCCAAGATCTTATGCTGGAAAGATTTGTACACCTTGCGCTTGTCATCATTTGTCTTTAAACAATACTCGGGCCAAATAAGCAAAGCAAATATTGTGGTGACACAATGAATGATGCTTTCTGCTCTACCTCAGTTTGTACTTCTAAAATTTGACGCCAACGTGTCTTCTTTTTCCTTCAGTCTCCATGTCTCCCATTGCGCTTCGAGAGGAGACCGAAGCCAGTCCAGCAGAGGTGGCGCTGTGCCTGTCCACTCGCAAGGACCACAGCATGTACACGTACAACCAGATGTACACCAATGACCCCGGTGCAGTGGTTCCTGCCGCTGAGCTCCCATCATGCACTGCTCTGGGACAGAGTACAGAGACTGAGCACATCCGAAGCACACACAACAATACATATGTGCGCACTAAAATAAAGGTGAGGCTTCTGGAAAATGTTTACTTTTTACTATGTTGATCTAAGATCTAGTTACAGCGGTAATAAGCTCATATTCAGCTGCAGAGCCATTGTGCCACCATTGAACATAATTGATTTGCGAATTGCTTGTGTGTGTGGGTTATACTCGTATCACTTTACTAGTTTGAGTGTTTACACTACCACTAATTTCTTCTTTATATTTCCCTCTTTGTTTGTTATCTCACTGCAGGTCACCACAGGTGAGCTTCCCAAAGAGGTTCCACCTATTGTTTCTAGTGTAACTACAAGTCCACCTGCTTCTATAGCGACATCTTGCTCCCCTCCTGCCGCTAAGTCGTCTTCAGTGCGGTTGAGTGGTGGTACTTATGTTTGCCAGGTGTGTCAAAAAGTTTTCCAGTTCCAGCGCATGCTAAACAGACACCTGAAATGTCACAGTGAGCAGAAGAGACACCTGTGTGACTTTTGCGGAAAGGGCTTTAACGACACCTTCGATCTCAAGAGGCACGTCCGCACACACACAGGTAAGAGCTTCATTTGTTCGCAATGAAGCAGAAGTAGCCACAAATAATTGGTCAAAAAAATATTTATATATATATATATATAGATATAGATATAGATATATATAGATAGATAGATAGATAGATAGATAGA